TCTCGATAAGTGCTTTAATCGAGAGCTTGATCGGCACTATCGGGGGGGGGGGAGAGGGGGCGGGGGAGGGGGGGGGATATACTGCACCTTCGTCTCGTCTCTATAACGGAATCGGGATTGGTTTCTTTGGAATTAAGTTCTTCATTCGGTTTTATAAGGTTTTTCCCTTATCACAGTTTTTATCCTTCGTCGCAGTCGAGCGAGATAAACAAGCGATTCACGAATTCCAAATCGTAAAATTTAAAACCCGAATAGAACCGAGTTACACGTCACTTCATTACTCAGGTGAGAAAAAAATCGCCGTTGAAAAAATCAATTGGTTGCTGTTGCAACACGATTATATGCATAAATTAGCACGAGTTTCATAGATGATCAATTAAACAAAACGTAACGATCGATCGTGGTCCTTAGTTCCCTCGTTTCCAATTTGCACGCGATTAGTAATTTCTTCCTTCGCGCTCAGTCAAACGAATAATGACGCGATATCGCGAATAATAACGAGATAATAATATAAGTAGCCCTATATCACATAGTAAAACGCAAGGCGCAACAATAAATATTGCCAAACGCATTAAATAGCTAAACGTGTAACGCAATAGTTCCGTAGGAAACCGGGAGTCCTGTTAGTTGTGTACGATAAAATAGTATGCTAGTAGGCTAGTAATTGTTATACAGTATAATCGAAACGTCTCTCATAATCGCACGCATCCTCTCCCTCTTTTTACCTTACTATTTACGTTATAATTACAAAAGCAATTCGATTAGACATGTGTGTATGTGTTTCGCTGCGTTTCCCCCGCCGTTGAGTCGAGGTAAAACGTGAAGAAAACCGTGGTAGATCGCTACGAGACAAATGGCAATAACAACGAGAGATACAATACGCGTTTCGAAGAAAAAGAAGAGAGAGAAAAAAAAAATAATAATCCGCTCTTCATCGATCACCCGAGCCTCCCTCCCGCGTTTGCACCCTCGCAAAAAGGATGTACGTACTCCTTTACGTTTATTATATAATGATTAGTCTCGCTGTAACATTACAATTAACGGTTAAATCCGTCCATGATTACTTCAGTTGCTTTATTAGCTGCTACTTTCATTTAGATCGGTATATCTAACGTATATATAACTATATAAATACAGCAGGCATTCGTTATGTATTTACAGATCGATCAACGCACCTATCTCCCTCTTACGCTCGCTCCCCCTCATTCTCCCTCGCCTTCTCTTCTGGCACATCCGCTTACTTTCCCCCCTCCCCCCTTTCTCTCGCACCCGCGACAGCAGCCTCGCGAGTTTTCACAGCGAAGGAGCGGGTTCGTTATTAAATTAATCATTAAATTAAAATCGTTTCCCCATCGATATTGCCACACATCTTCAGTCTTATAAATTCCATGCGTTAATGGCTCGAGTGATTTTTCAAGATATGTTAATTAACATCATAAATCCTAACAAAATCTGTAACGATACTAACAATATATAAAGTAAGATTCTGCGCACAATGGAGGAAATATTAGCAATAAGAATAAATCTTAAGTTTTGGAAATAAAAATTAGTACGTTTAATTTTCACCCCTAATTTTTATTTTCAAAATTTAATATTTATCTCTGTTCCTAATATATTTTTCAATATTTCCTCCTAATAAAAATTCGGAAAAAAAAAATTAACACACAATAACACAAGTAAGTATAAGATGTAGCTGTTTTACATTTAATTTTTACTCCTAATTTTTTTATTAAGAGGAAATATTAGAAATAAATATAAATAAATTTTGAAAATAAAAATTGGGAGTGAAAATTAAACATAATACATAATGGATACAACTAAGTTATATCTTATACTTGTCCATTGTTACGTTTAATTTTTATTTCTAAAATATAAATATTTATTCCTGTTCCTACATCGAGAATTGTTTCTTTACACTGAGAAAAAAGTTGTTAACTAGATTAAATTTGTTCAGTACAAGTATCTATATATTTAACTTAAATATATAAATACTTGAACTGAACAAATATAATTATTAAATTAAAAAATTTAGTCACGTTAACCATCTTTTTTTCTCAGTGTAATATTTCTTCCATTGCGCGAGGAATCTAAGATGTAATTGCGCCGATTGCGTCGAAACATCGCGACAGATCGGTGCCCAAACCGAAGTCGATACCTGGGACGATCAAGGCGTGGTCGAAGACACTCGGACACGAGGAGTCGCGGCCGTTGAAGACGCGTTACGACCTACGTTACGATCTACGCGCGCGCGCGCGCGCGCGATTTCGGCCCGGCCGAACGCGCCGCCTAAATTCGTCCGACAAAGGCCGTTGCGAAATTGAAGAATTACGACGGTAAGCTCGAACAATTGCGCGGCTGGCCCACGCTGAATTAGGCACTTTGGCCTCGCTCGCGCTCGCCGGATTTCGATCTTATTAGCGCGCTGAAAGGAAGGACCTCGCGGACAATGGCGCGTCCGATTGCGAAGGTGAATCGGACCTGCCGCGCGCCGTTGTTCATCGATTCAATGGCCCTAAGTGATCCAATTGAACGCCGTATTCTAAAATGGATCCGAATTTTTTTAGTTATCACGAGCAGTTTGATAACGACGAACGCGTTTGATACCGTGGGCGCGCGTATGATCCTACTCCTCCTTGGAAAAAATTCTTTCAACTTAAAAAGACCGCCTGGGTCTCTTTATTTTTAATTTTCCGAACGAGAAAGTAACGTTCGAATCGAATTCTCTGGATAATGAAGATCGTGAAAATCGCATTAAAACCTCGTCGCTTCAACGTAATACCTCGTGGAGTGTCGGGAAACGGGAAATTAGTACGCGCTTTAAACTAATAGCTTACAAAATAAGATCGAAATAGATACGTTAAATATCTTAAAGCTCCCGCGAAAGTTCTGCGCCGGTCCCAAGTCGCCGTCCTAAAATTATCTAAGCGCATTTTAAATTTTAAACACACTTCACCCGACTCGTGGAACCAACCCGCTCCTTCGCCGGTGCTTCGCGCTCGGTGTGTTATCCTAACAGTGCGAAGTAAATGTTTACAAAACCGCTAGATATCTTCGGTGAGCTCGCGTTAAAACGTTAGAGGCGAGTATAAAGGCGGAAGAAATTACAAAAGGAGAAGAAGAAGGCTATGCTTTTATATATATATATATATATATCTTTCTCTCTATTTTTTTCTATTCTCACACACACACACACACACACACACACACACCGCACGCTAGAAATATAGGTATGGCGAGAAAGTGCCCGGTTTCGCACCCTCATTCGGGGGTGGCCGTACTCTGGCTGCTCTTCCTCTCGTCCGAGAAGCGACGACGCGACGCCACAGCCAGGGATATTCAGAAAGGCACTCGCACCCCTCCACAAAGATCCAGAAAATCAAATGTACAAAACGAATACGGCGTCGCCGAGGCGTCGCGAATCGCGTGCGGCCATCCCAGCCGAGAAAAACGACGATTTGTCTCTCGGTTGTCCCTAACTACTATTTACTTTCTTACAGTAACATCAAGTCGATCGGGATAATGACGAGGGACAAGTGCGACACCGTGATTTTCCACTTGGGAAAATTCAGAGAAATAATTTCTAATTGTATCTCATTGAGACACGCTAAATTGCTCGATTCTCTTCTCGGACAGCAATTATCGTTTGCCAAAGCAAAATTAAATTCCAAACTAAAACTCGCCGATTAAAACTACATATAAAATCACATTCCGAGTGTCATACGAAAATAACACATTTTTACCCTTTTAAATAATACATTAATTTAATTAGAAGGTGTCGCAATTATCTCAGAAAATTTGAATTATTCCGACTTGACTTGCAAAGCGAATCGCCAGATTCGAGTGTAACGTGTACGTTCTTCGTTGTACGACGAAAACGTCGCTTTTCCGAGACCTTTCAACAC